AAAGCGTCGTTATCCAAAAAGAAGAATAGTACAAATTGAAAAGTGTGAATTGCCTACTGCTCCTGTCAAAAGTCAGAAGCATTCCTCTCATGTTCTTTCTCGTCACCTAGACGTCTGTAAGTTAGACCAGCTGGTCTCGCAGACGCTTAAACTATGTACACAATTTATATACAGTTAAACCACAGTATTGTAATTGTCTCGGTATGGCTACGAATACGTTCCAGGTCAGGTAATAGAGTATCAAATGTATTAAATTCAAATAAAGCACCACTTCACGACAATCATGGATTCATATGGGTACACTGTTATTAAAATAACATTCATACAGTGCATACAGGCTAAAATTAACAAGTCATTTGTTTAAAATAACAAGTCATCATTTGCATGAATTTATCCAAATAAATAAGATGTTTGTGTCAAAACAATCTTCAGGTTTGATTTAGTATTGTTTAATGTACGTCCTATCAACAGCTATACATGTACATGGTCATTTAAGGACGGCCTCCCCCATTTGCTAGATGCATGCGTGTGGTGAGTTTGTGCATATACTTAGTTTGTGTTCTGGGAGTCTGTTGTATGTTCATGTTTGTCTCCTTGTGATAGCGCAGGACTGATGCTGACTTTATAGTGTAATTTCACTGTAGCATACTGCTGATGACACATCTTGTTTTACGATCGAACCCCGTTATCTCACCATCTTCAATAGCCAAGGGTTCATAATTTAAATTTGTACTATTCAACCTTGGCAGATTTAGCCTTGTGTTCAATTTCCCTCCCCTGCCACCTTGCACAACTTTAAGCTTTCAAGATTATTTCAGCACTGGTCGCCTATGTATTTCCATTGGTTATCATTTACAGTTAGAATATGGCCAATTATCTCTACCAACTGATCATATACAGAACATGTTTCTCTAAGTATTGTCCTCCTTTGGTTTTTTTTACATAAATCATGACATAGTCGACAAGGCAACTTGGTACTGGGCGCCGCCATTATTATTTACATGCACAGGGACTTGGTATTAATTTTTAACTCTCAGTTCACATATGTGTATTATATAATGTATGATATAAAACAAACATGTGGACCATAGGATGGTAATTCGTGCCAAGTCCCTGTGCCAGGTTCAATAATTTGAAAGCTTAGAGAACAAGGCTGAATACGCTAAGGTTGAATACATGAATATGTGAATACAAAATGAACGCTTGGCTAGCAAAGATGAGATGTTACAGGCTGGACAGATAATGACAACAAAAACAGGCTGAAAACATATATGGAATGTGTTTTTCTTAAGGGAGGCTGTATAAACACATTATAAATATGTAACATCATGATGGAAGTCCATTTTACCCGAATTACCTGACGTTATTTTCAATACCTTCAGTTCATCTATATTTCCACACTATTCTCTGTATAAGGGATATGACTCAGTTTTTTTTTGTTTTTTTTTTAAATCCTTGCAACCACTATTAAGTCATATTTATAAGAAAGGTCTGCCAAATATCTGATTCTTTGACATCTTTACTACAAAAATATAGCAGGAATTGAACTTTCTATATCAACTGCACTACTCTTCATATTATTTGTTGACATTTTTCTGCTACAATACATGAAGTTTCCTCACAAGATGCTGATAACCGAAAAGAGTCTGAAACCTTAATCATATCTTTTAGAATACTGTGTTTAAAAAAAATGTTATACATGTAAATCTTCGATCCACTAAACATCAACAAACAACATTTAAACCCTTCATTCCCTAAATCTGTTATTAAAAGGATTGAAAAAAAAAAAATATGTGTTCGCTTAAATGTTAAAATATTTCTGTTCATTATTCATATTTACAGTGGTCTTCAAATCCACTAATTCATAAGTTGACATAAAATTCAACTGCAGTATTTTTTGGTCTGACAGCTAAATACGTATCATCAAGGGTCATTGACCTGTCAGAAGTTGAAGTAGCCAAAGTTATGTGATTTTGGTGTAGAAGCATCCTAAAAATAGAACGAGCTCGAATAGTTGTGACCCTTTGTTTGCTTTCCTATACATCTTATTCTGGCAGTTTCTCATTCATATTTTTATTTTTCCATTTGTTATGCACTTCATATACATCTGATGAGACTGTGAGATTTTTGAAAATGCACAAAATTCGCCAAGAAAGCTGAAAGTTACAAAAGGCCAAAAGGTGAAACTTTACACCATACAGGCCAGGTTTGAACATTTTACTGTAATGTTTGTTTTACTTTCCGTTTGGGAAGGATTTTTAATGCATCTCAACTGTTATATCAATCAATTAATTTTTATTTAGATGATGTCCCTGATAAATATTTCTTATATAATTTAAAATTTGTTTCAAGTAATACTTATACTCTCTGTTTTAAACTAGGAACACTTGCTAAGTACTCTAAGTATTTGTGCAGTTATGATTGATTGTCTTCCTTTGGATAATATTCCTGTGAGTTGTGTCCCTCACATGGTTTCCTCACATTCCTTTCTGTTATGTATCGGATATAGTTTGTTGCGTCTTTAAGTTCCATGTTTCCTGTTAAATAAAATATGTCATGTTTAGGTGATTTTTTGAGAATTGGGGGTTTTGCGAAATTTGCTTATTGTTTTGCAAGGTACCAATATTTTTTATTTTTATAACATATATAGGGTGCTCCCATAGCTACCACTTTCTTTAAAATGCAGATTTTCTTCCCGTTGTTTTTGGAAAAATGTACCCAGAAATTTTAGACTGTCTGTCCTTCTATCTGTTTTTAGCTCACCTGCCAAGGACAAGTGAGCTTTTGCCCTGGTGCGACCTTCTGTCCCGTCCCTTCGCGTCGCATCCCAATTCAATGTAAACACTTAGCAACTTCATTCATTGACAGATTTTGGTCAAACTTTATATAAATATCAAGTAGTGGTATACTTCATAAATCGTTGTATTTCAGGGATCCAAGGTGAGGGTCAAGGTCACACTTGCTACACATAGATAATCATCAACTGATTCAATTTAAACACTTAGCAACTTCATTCGTTCATGGATTTTGATAAAACTTTATGCAAAGGTCAAGTATGAGTAGACTTCGGACATTGTTGTGTTTCCTGGTTACAAGGTCAATGCCAAGGTCAATGTTGCTATATATAGAAAATCCTCAACTGATTCAATTTAAACACTTAGCAACTTCATCAAATATGTTATGGAGATGGTAATAACATACAGAAAAAAACATTTGAATATTATTAAAGTCAACTTATCAACTTTAAGTGTAGAACCTTGTGTGTGTGCATACATGGACTTTATCCAGTGAAATAAAATATTTGTTGAAGCTTTTGGATAGCTTTTCAGCCTTTGATATCAAAGGTCAAGGTCACTTACTATAAATATAACATCAGTTTGTGCACTGTATTTCGAATTCTGTTGGACTGATTACACTCAGATTTTATCGAGTCCTTCCTGGAAGAAAATGCCTGCTTGGGATAACTTTTCGGGTCCAGTGGTCAAAGGTCAATGGGTCACTATAAATAGAAAATCTGTTTAATGCACTACTGCACAATATTTTGATTTCTCTTGGGCTGATTACACTCTTGACTTTATACAGTGCTTCCTCAAAGAAAGTGCCTGCTTGGGATAACTTTCCAGGCCCGGGGTTTAGGTCTCTATCACTGTTACTATATGAATAGAACATCAGTTTATAAAATGCATTACTTATATTTTGAGTTCTGTTGGGCTGATTACACTCAAGACTGTATCCAGTGCTTTTATAGAAAAAAAACACCTCTTGCTTTCACTAGTGGTTGCTACATGTATGCCTAACCACAGTTTCTTTAAAATCTTCAATAAGCATAATTATGGAGAATAGTCACGGCGGCATTGAAAATATATATATATAAATCTTATTATCGGTTAGCTTGTAATAATGATAATAATAATAAACATTTATATAGCGCCCTATATAATTTGTAAAATTGCTCTTAACCACTTTACAACATATGGATAATAGTATTAGTTAAATCTGTGAAACAAAAAAGGCTTACAATCACCATTATACAGTTAGCAAGAAGATACTCATCGCAATGTGTACATCAATAAACATATATAAAGGGTGGTATGTACATGACGTCTGTGTAAAGAGTCTTAAATGCAGACGTGAAAAGGCGAGTTTTGATGTCCTTCTTGAATTTGATCAGGGTATTTGACTTTTTAATACCAGATGGTACGCTATTCTACAACTTGGCCGAAACTCTCTTAAAGCACAGGCATACACAACAATGATTCTGACTTCAACCGCAGTGATCGTTACGGCTGATACTGGGTAACAGCCTCCTGGAGGGATGGTGGAGCTATTCCATTTAGTGCCTTGTATGTGTACACCAACATTTTGTACTGCAACCTGTATCGGACAGGTAACAAATGCAATGAATATAGAACATATGTGATGTGCTCTCTCTTCCGAATACGAGTAACCAGTTTTGCTGCAATTTTCCGGAGTGCAGACGACTTGTTATTGAAGGAAATAGGGGACGGACTAAGCGACGGATGGAATTCTGTTGTATACTTAAACAATGATACAATTGAGTTTTTTAAAGTCTGTTTCAAATGGATGAGTATACAACTAATGTTTTTTTCTTTCTTTTAAATTCACGTATTTCATAAAAAAATATATTTGTCTAGCATTAACGTTTCGTGAACTGGTGAAAAACACTTGTGCTACTCTAGGGGCTAACATTTCCTTTCATATATTGATATTAAGAAAAGTTTTGATTTTTGATATTTTCCTGACATTTTCTGTCTTGCAAGAACCCTTATTATTAGGTACAACATAAATGTAGGGGTTTGTTTGGCACACCGGATGTACGGGTTTAAGAGTGTGTTTACCAGATTGTTTAAACACTGGGAAGGTTTAGTTATTGAAAGGAAGGGAGGATAGATAGATAGGGTCGATTGTGTTTGTTAAGACAACAGGACATAGTTAGACTGAGGTTTATTATTTTATGTTTTATTTCGTTTAACATACAGGTGGAACGAGAATTGAGAATACATGGAAAGAGGCCGCATTTGGATGTGCTGCTGCTAATAGTTTTCCACAACCGGTCCCCGAAGAATGTACGATTGGCTCTTCTGGATGGTTGGGAGGATTTCGAAGTTTGCAGTATGTGCCAGGTAATCGTTATAAGTAACCCAATTAGATGTACCTTTTAGTAGTTATATCCAATTAGATATACCTTTAGTAGTTATCTTGTTTTACTTATAAAGTCAATTTTATTTCAATAATAATAATAATAATAACTATTATGTATGCGTATTCAATACCTACACCAAACGTTGTAGCCCCCAAAACAAAAGAAGACAAAACTCCCATCTTTCTTCCCCGCTCGTGACCCCAATTACGACGAAAGAGACACATAGTGACCCCCTTCCTCTCCCTTTAATGGCGCCACTATGGCGGCTTACTGCTGTGCGTCATTGTTTGACCTTATACAGGCGGTAGTGATTTGGTTTTTCCTTATTATTTACTGCAGTCTTTGTTACATGTAATTATGCTCATTCTACCTTATAAATGTTTTTTTGCGAATTAGAGTTACTTTGTGCCTTTTTCTGCCGGTTGTTACTACACATGTTCCGAGCGTGGTGTACCATGTGGTCCGCCATTATCGAGTTCTGCTCACTGCCGGCGTGCTGAAAACTTCCGTCATCTGTTGCAAATGTTTTGCTGTTAATTCTTTATAACATTAGTGTACACTGAACGTTTGTAGTTTTATTTTTTCGGGTAGTTTGTATCTTTAAAAATAAATAAAAAAAATGCTCACATCTTGTTGCATATTTGGAGAGGTAGGTAGTATACAGAAACCACCAAATCCAACAAAATGAGGTCGGGGACCATGTTTGCATTTCATTTACTCGCGAGTATGATATTAGATGAACCGGTGAAATATATGCGATAGCAAAACAATTCTGATACAATTCATGCTGATTTACCGTCTTGAAGGACTACAATAGCGATGAATCACGAGTACATTTTATCGATTAAACTGCAGAGTTTGGATCTGGACCTGAGACAAGTGTGCTTAAATATATAAGGTAAACGACCTTATAAGCTTAACACATAATTTAGCATATAATTGAACTATAATCGATTGTCATAACAAACGTGTCAGTTTCGGGTACAAAGAAATAAAAGTAACAAATGACCTATACGGGGGTCCTAGACTACTGCCCTTCGCCCTACGTTCTTTCGACGAGCGAGCAGCAAATCGAATATTTTAATTGTGTCGATGTTTTTTTTTTAAATAGCGAAATTGAGCGAGACATGTAAGTAGCCAAGGACATAACACTGTACCACTGTAGTTCTAATCTAGATCCATACTCTAGTAAAATTTCAGAATGATCTATTAAATATGTGAAATGCAGATCCGGTTACTTATTATTTTTCTGTTATTAGGTTCAACTGTCGGTACCTTTTGCAAACGATTATCTTATTCGAAGAATAACGCCATGCCAAGGTTCAAGGAAGTGAGTTGTAGCAGTTCGTTTAAATTCTACTGCATTTACAATGGTAAGTTAATATTATTTTGCTATTTGATGTAACTAGACACGTACGATGTCTTAAAGACGTATACACGAGGCATATTTCTCCGTAACATTGGAGCTCGTGTGATCAGTGATATTAGATATATAACATATTTAGCATATGACTATCATGTTATACAGTGTTAATAAAGCCGTTACATAAACTATCTTTATGACACACGTGTAATAAAGCCTTCAGCGTGTAAATAATCAAGGTAATTATTCATATACTCAACTCAAGAATATATTGAAGATGTTATCAAACACTGGTTTGACACAAACAAACCCGACACTATCGTCAAAACAAACATAAGTTTTTTGTTCACGCCTTGCTTTCACTTAAAACATATAACTAGGGTTAGAAGTTAACTTTATACTTCTTTTTACATTTGTTTCTATCCAATCACTTGAATTTGCGTTTTCTAGATGTAGTTAGCATTTGGCCGAAGTGTTATGCCATAACATCAACACTACATAAAAACCACTGGTTCTCTGTTATCTATTTCATCTTTTTGTATAATTTTCATAATGCCTGGTTATCTCTTTGTTATATTTTGCAATATGTAATTGTTCATGTTTCTGTCTTGAAAATAGTCGAATAGTCTCGAACATGACAGATTCCTTTGTTTGCTCTGTCACAATAACTTAATTGCTTATATTTTTACTATTTTACAAGATCAAAACGAGCTTTGAACGTAATATAAGCCTCAGAAGATTACACCCTTAAACAGTGTATGTTTTTTTTTGTCTCAGAATCGGGATATAACGAGATATGTGACGTCACAAAATCATCTTCATGCGACACTACACTTATCTGTTCTGACCGTAGCGGTACCGCTAGGTGTCTGTGTAGTGATGACAAATACTGGTATGAGAAGTACAGAATCTGCACGACGAGTACGTATTAAAGTCAATATTCCTAATTCTGCAAACAAGTATTGCCACACCTTGGATATACAATGTCAAATATGGTGATACAAAAACACGCGAATAGTCATGACATTTGCTTTATAGGCGTCATCACTTCTACGGCATTGTATTCATTCTCATTTGGTAGCGGTAGATGAGTTAGTGGATATTTTATGAGAATTTTCACCTGAAACCAGATCTTGTAATGTTACGAACATATTGGAAATAAAACGTTGATGTACGATAATATGTTCATATATGCCTGTGGTTGGATAATTTCGACAGCTTGGTTTTGCGAAAGAGGGCTAGAAATATCTACATATTCAATCATAATTTTCGTACATGTTTTTTTCGGTAGTTTTTTATAATGTTAAATAAGAGAGGAAGTCGGAATATTCCGGGATCAGATTAAACAAGTTTCACTGTAGAAGTTATAAACATCGTATATACAGTATTACAAGCACTCTGCTGGAACAATTGTTAAATAACCTACAAAACTCCGCCTCCTTATTCTTCTACTTTGTCTAAATTCCATTAAAGATACCTAAGTGTAGTCTTTTTGAAATTAAAAGTACACAGTATAATGAAGAACATAGATAAAAATGAAGGCTAAGACTACATGTATAAACTGTGACGTAGATTGAAATCTAGAGTGTAGGTATAATTCATAACGTATATTATACATAGATTATCAGAGATAAAGTACGAAATTTGTTTCAATCATTTAACTTTTTCCTGCGGATTTCATTATTAAACTTTGAACATAATCTGATACCTACCTTTGTGTAGATCCGAAAATGAATGTTTGAGCAGTCGTCAATTTGAATAGCTGTGATATTGTGAAAAATAACTGTGGACACATATTATTCCTGGTGGCGACCCTAAACGAATAAATGGCAAAGAGATAAGATGTTATTGTCAATGTCCAAATAGTATCGCGGTACTTGACACCGTCAGAAGGAATAATCATCAGCAATTTCATAACAAGCTAGCAATATAACAGCCATCAAATAAATTGCAGGAAATTCCCTGCTGACCTGTCCTCATTGCCAACATTGACACATGATGGCAAATTAATACTCTTCAAAACCAGAAACAACAATGCCTCGTGTCAAATTTGCTCTTTGTAATAAAATAGCAAATTAATGACCCATTTGGCAGGAAAATCCTTACCGTGAACGACTCCAAACAACTTCTGTCTAAAAGGAAATATCAAAAGGTCGCTGAAGCAGTCAATACCTCTATCCCTACTGTACTGAGCACTGCGTATCTATGATAATAGACATACCCTCTGAAGGAATTAAAAATATGAATAAAGGTCTTGCTGCCAGTCATGTAGGAAAAAGACATTCCCAAGATCTGAAAGATGTACCTGGTCACCTAAAAACAGAACTAATTGGCTGCACACAATGTCAGGGTATTTAATATACCTTCCTCCTTTGGACATCTTAAGAGTAGCTTACTTACTATTTATTCGCACCTTGTGTTTATGCAAAATACCCCCTGGCCTTTCTTCACTGCCTGGGAAATGTTTTTGGAACATATAATGAAGATTTAGGCAACTAGCCCTACGCATGTCCAATTACATTTAATGTCATGTCTGAAATGTTACCAACGCAATGAATAAGCCTTGGGAGGTGTTTCATAATTTAGCATTGATTCAAAAGTTTCTAAAATAAAATACAAAAATAAACCATGTTACTTTTACCTTGCCACCACAAATAAATTGCACAGCGTTGGAGACGCAAATGTTTCCCTTCCTCCGGGGATTTAACATGAAAAAAAGCCCACTTAACAAAGTAGGAACCTATCAACCCGGCCTTGGGCCTAAAACCCTTACCTTACTGTTTGCATTCGCATATAGGATCATTTCTTACAGTCAAATCCAGAAACTACAGGACTTAAAATTACCGGTCTTAAAGTCAGATAATGCTAAACTTATTTGCAAAATTGCATTAAACTGGTATATCGTGACTGGTCGCAGATTTAAAAGATATAAAATGAATTACCTGCTGAAGGCTAGGTAGTCATTTAGTGTCTGTAACGTTACAATGTTTGTAATGCCTGCAAGGCCTGTCTGTATTACCTGTTATTTGGTGGTTTTTAGGGTCGGGTAGCTTCAGAGTTGAGATTAACACCTGGAATGATTTTATACAAGTGGCTGGTCCCGATCGGCTGAAGGAGCCAGACTTCTGAACTTTGCAAACTTTGAAACGTTTACACTGTATCAAATACAATACTACATATAGAAGAATGCGTTTGCCCTGAAAAGTGTTAATGAAAATTCAGGAAAAAAAATATGTCTCTTAGTATACTTGTACCAATCTAAGTACATGGCAAGGGGAAGAACACCAAGTGCTCCTGGAAGTTAGTGCCACCCCGCAGCTTGCTACCTATAGCACTATATGTAAACATTGTGAGAATTATTCGTGGTTGCCATATTTTTGTTTAGTTCGGTGGCAAGATTTTCCAGCAGATTGTAGGCATTGCCATGGAAACAAACTAATTTTATAAATGAGCTTGTCAGGACTGGTAACTAAACCTTTGTCAGATCCTTCAATTTTACAGTCAGCTATATCATTAATATACTTTTTTGAATAACAAGAAACTCATTGACCACATCGGTCGTTTATACTGTCAAGAGCTTGAAATCAAGGACGCCACACTCTCTAAGCTATATGATAAGCGGGATATCACGACTTCCGTGATATGTGCCAACTGCTAACGAACAACCTTATGCAACAGGGTTTCCAAAGATGCAGGTTGATAAAGACTATGAAAAAGTTTTATGGCTGCTGTCAGGATCTCGAGAGAAATGTGTCATTTCTTTGTGTGAGAGGAAGGTCGATGCTTTTGTTTGAGGTCATTAGAGTGTCTTGTGATTTTGTTGTCACTACTCTAGTTTTCGATTAGAGTAGAGGACGTGACATTACTAGGATCCGACTTTGATTTACATGGCGAATGTCATCGAACAAGCAGAAGACGTTGACGTTTCCGGAAAAAGAAAAAAAGAAAAATAAGATGTTCAGGAAAATTGACCGAAAGATCTTTTGAATTCTTCAAAATCCATATTCTATTTATTCCTCTTCTTGAGTAAACAGTGTCACAATAAGACTGTATCCCTGATTTAATTGTACTAAGAATAAGCGTGAAAGTTTGGATAATGTCTTGTTTGATCAACTGGAAGAGCCAGCAATAAAACGATTATAAGGATTCTCATATTCCTATCATTAGTGGGTATTTAGAAATATTGTAATACAGAATCGGGATTAGTTAGTATTTTGTCTTTCGAAAATATTAGAATGTATACGTAAGGTTACCTTGGTTATCGAGCAAGTCTAAGTGCGGTTGCAAGTAGGTGATATATGGTGTCTGCAAACGAAGTTTGATTTATTAGATGCTTTGTTTGCAGACACAACTATCCGCCTATCATGTAGATCGTTAAGTGTGGTTTATTAGATGCTTTGTTTGCAGACACAGCTATCCGCCTATCATGTAGATCGTTAAGTGTGGTTTCTTAGATGCTTTGTTTGCAGACACAACTATCCGCCTATCATGTAGATCGTTAAGTGTGGTTTATTAGATGCTTTGTTTGCAGACACAACAATCCGCCTACCATATAGATCGTTAAGTGTGGTTTATTAGATGCTTTGTTTGCAGACACAGCTATCCGCCTATCAAGGAGATCGTTAAGTGTGGTTTATAAGATGCTTTGTTTGCAGACACAACTCTCCGCCTATCATGTAGATCGTTAAGTGTGGTTTATTAGATGCTTTGTTTGCAGACACGGCTATCCGCCTATCATGTAGATCGTTAAGTGTGGTTTATAAGATGCATTGTTTGCAGACACAACCATCCGCCTATCATGTAGATCGTTAAGTGTGGTGACGACATCGGGTTAACAAATGGACAGATGCTTCCTGTTTTTATTTTAGATTTTAGGCATCTTATTGTTTCTTTGAATGATGGACCAAATATATCCAGTCCATTCTAAAAGTTGCAAATCTAAACCATAGATATTGTGCTTGTGGTATATGTTTGAAAAATGAAAATCAACGGTTTTCTCATTTAAAGACGATATAAATAAATATGAACCAAATATTAGTAACAACATTTGAGACATCCTTTTCTAAAGAATGTTTTATCTTCAAAATCAATCATCATTTTGGACTTAATTTTAGGAGCAGTCGTTGAATAATAGTGCAAGAAATACACAAACTAAAACAATTTACATGTGTAAATGTTTCATCCAATTTGGCTAAGGCGTTTTGTCCTGTGTTTTACTGTGTAAGAATGTGTGATGTTCTTCGTTTTAGAGAAGACATACGGTCAGACTTGCGATGTCAATGTGACTGGTATATGTCAGGAGAAGATGTCGTGTCAACCTCGCGCCGGGGTACATATGTGTGATTGTAACGAACAGCATTACTGGGACGTGATGGTACCTGTATGTCAACCAGGTATGTCAGGTGAAGAATTGTTCAGTATGTGACAAGGTGTTGTTTACTATACAGTTTATTGATCTCAAGTGTCTTTTACTCTAAACTTCATATAATGGACTTAGTAGCAAAGCAATCTCCTCAAGAACACTAGTATTCAAAAGCACAATGACCAGCCGTGACATTGTAGGGAATGTATTTTAATGCGACCAATCAAATTGTTTCCGACCAGCGGGATTGCTGTACAAATGTACAGTGATAATTTACATGTCATATCTGAATTATATATTATCTTCTTTAAGAAAAAAAAAAAATTGTTGCTCGCGTAAAGTTGCGGTCCGAAAATGATTTTATTATGAAAAATTACTATGTATCTGATAGGTATACTTTTGTGTATGTCTTTTAAAAAACCTGACAATGGCCCGACTGAAATATAAATATATTGAGGATAAGATCATGAAATGATTGAATTCCTGGTTGACAATATTTCCGTTGTGCTCGGTGACAGGTTTTTCCACCAAACTGCTGGAAATACCATGAGAACAGACTTAATTTGAAAAATTCTACATCAGCCTCAAAACTCGATCTTTACATACAACTCGACCAATAGCGACACCTAAATGCCATGTTTGGTCACCATCACCTACCTTCAAAATAACAGACTATAGAATTTGTTTGATTCTACATGTACAAAGAACTCCTATCCCTGGTAAGGCATGCGAATGGTTTGAATGTTCTAAGGAACTCGGTATGAAATCGGTGCTTGTGTTTAGAAAATGGCTTAACAACATGTAAAAGGCGTACTTCGATTTAACAAAAAAAATGCAAAGTTAGAATTAATTTATTATCTAGGTCATAAATGTTCTTACTGAGTACAATAAATCCTAAATCATTACTAATTCAAATACAATTTATACTAATTATAGTATGCTCATTTTTTCATACAATCATAGTTTGAGATTTTATCGGATATACAATGTCCTCTACTGATGTACTCATTGTACTGTCGTTGTTGTTGTTTATTCAGTTACCATTTGTTCACTGTCAATGCTACTGTTTATGTTAGAGAAATAGTCAAATTTATCAACATTTAAAAAATTAAATTAATGAAATGTACAAGACTGATTTTTTTTAATTTTCATCAAATTTATCAATTGGTTAACCAGCAGTTACCATTACATTCTACTTATAACTTATACTTAGAATGTGGTTTTGACATGTACTGACCTATGAAACACGTTTCTAATGTTTCTAGGTTAATCTGAATCTGATATAGTGTACATCTGATATAGTGTACATCTGATATAGGGTACATCTGATAAAGATTACATCTGGTATAGTGTATATCTGATATAGTGTACATCTGATATAGTGTATATCTGATATAAGGTACATCTGATATAAGGTACATCTAAAATAATAGAGTGTACATCTGATAGAGTGTAAATCTGAAATACTGTATCTGTTGTTTACAGTACATCTGATATAAGGTACATCTGATATAGTGTACACCTGATATAGGGTACATCTGATATAAGGTACATCTGATATAAGGTACATCTGATAAAAGGTACATCTGGTAAAAGAGCAAATCTAATATAAGAAACATCTGATATAAGGTACATCTGATATAGTGTACATCTGATATAGTGTACATCTGATATAGAGTATATCTAGTATAGTGTATATCTGATATAGGGTACATCTGATATAGTGTGCATCTGATAAAGGGTACATCTGATATAGAGTATATCTAGTATAGTGTATATTTGATATAGTGTACATCTGATATAGTGTGCATCTGATATAGAGTATATCTAGTATAGTGTATATCTGATATAGTGTACATCTGATATAGTGTACACCTGATATAGTGTGCATCTGACATAGGGTACATCTGATATAAGGTACATCTGATATAAGGTACATCTGATAAAAGGTACATCTGGTAAAAGAGTACATCTGATATAAGAAACATCTTATATAAGGTACATCTGATATAGTGTACATCTGATATAGTGTAAATCTGAAATAGTGTACATCTGAAATACAGTACGTGTTGTTTACAGTACATCTGATATAAGTAATATCTGATATAGTGTACATCTGATATAGTGTACATCTGATATAAGGTACATCTGATATAAAGTACATTTGATATAGTGTACATCTGATTTAGAGTACATCTGATATAAGAAACATCTGATATAAGAATCATCTGATATAAGGTATATCTGATATAGTGTATATCTGATATAGTTTATATCTGATATAGAGTATATCTAGTATAGTGTATATCTGATATAGTGTACATCTGATATAGTGTACATCTGAAATAGTGTAAATCTGAAATACAGTACCTGTTGTTTACAGTACATCTGATATAAGGTACATCTGATATAGTGTACATCTGATATAGAGTATATCTGGTATAGTGTATATCTGATAAAGTGTAAATCTGAAATACAGTACCTGTTGTTTACAGTACATCTGATATAAGGTACATCTGATATAATGTACATCTGATATAGAGTATATCTGGTATAGTGTATATCTGATATAGTGTACATCTGATATATTGTATATCTGGTATAGTGTAAATTTGAAATACATTACCTGTTGTTTACAGTACATCTGATATAGTGTACATCTGATATAGTGTACATCTGATATAGAGTATATCTGGTATAGTGTATATCTGATATATAGTGTTCATCTGATAGTATAGTTTACATCTGATATAGTGTTCATCCTATATAAGGTACATCTGATATAGAATACATCTGATATAGAATACATCTGATATAAGGTACATCTGATATAAGGTACAGCTGCTATTTAGAGATTATCATATGACCATTTTGATATCACACCCCATACCAGCCTGAGAGTCCTGATATCAGCCAGAGGGCCGAAGGCCAGAGGGCTGATACCAGGACTCGAGGGCTGATATTGGGTGTGCTATCAAAATGGTCATATCAGAAACTTTTTATCATATGTTTTTTTCCTTTAAAATAAACGAAACATACACAAACAAATCATTTCTTTATTTTATTTACTGATATTCATGAAAATGATAACAAAAACAATGATGTATACTGATAAACAAAACAGTAACAACTATCATAAAAAGTCAACATTTAGAAATTCCTAAATTCCTACAAAATAACATGGTTATTAATAGTTTAACAATATAACACAATTGATCTGGTTGGAATTCAATTTAATCACTGTCCGAATCGATCATCAACACAATACAATTTTCAATATCCATTGGGCATTCCTCACTTAATGATTACAGTAATACTAACTAGAACCAACAGCTACCAAGCTTATAGAACTATTTATTATTCATTTGAATACTGTACCTACCTAAACCAAGCGCCCCTTTTTCATACAGAATTGACAGTTCTTCCTTATTTAGTGAATCAGCAGCATTTGGTCGGTTTCCTTTGCCTTGAGTCTTCAAATTCTTCATTTTGGCACTTAGCACATCACGAGAATGTTTGAATTTAATATCGGTCAACATATTGACGTCGTAGTGTTTCTTCTGTAGGTAACGGTTAATGCTTGATTGTTCAAGTTCAAGTTCAAGTTCTTTATTACTTTAAGTCGGTTGACTTATCAGTTATAACATATATACAAATGAATACAGAGACATCATACAATATGATACACACACACATACACACACGATTGTAAACACCTCAGACTTGATGGTTCGTACTCAGATTTCTCTTTTTTTCTGACGTTCATGAAGAACTTGGCCATGTAATCCGCCAACTGAACCGAGTCAATAGACTCTGGAGATCTCCACTCATTTTGAGACATCAAATAATCCGTGAAAATTTTGATGTCGGATTGCGTTTTTCTCGCAGTATTCTTGTTCCTCATGAAAGATGAGAAAATGTATCCTTGTTCCTCCTTGTTCCACAAAAGCTTCGGTATCATTAACTAGCATTATTAAATCGCCCCCCTGCATCCATTACACGTTTCGTCTCCTTTTCCAGGATTAATTCATCTAGTTCAACAATCCTTGATGCCAGTTCCTCTAACATCTCCTCGCCAGTACTAGCTATAGACGTCGCCATCGTTGTTTTTGTTTACGCAGACGACAGGTGTACCACTAATAAGCAAATCCAAATACGGAAGCGGCTCCACCCGGAAATTTGGGTGGGGCTTTGTAAATCAATCTTTAAATTATTTTCCATGAAACGGCATTTATTCCATGCCAACAATTCGTTTGTTTACATTAAAAGCGGACAACTTTAAGCGGAAACGGCAAAATCCGGAAATTTAGGAGGGGGTGTGATATCACTCTTCTAGGGGGTGTGATATCACTTTCAAGAAGGTGTGATATCACCCGGGCTGATATCAATTTGTGGAAATTTTAGACTTATCACATATACAAAAAGGGTGTTATTATTAGTAAACATATGATAAAAAACCATCTGATATGGTGTACATCTGATATAATCATATAAGGTATATCTGATATAAGGTACATCTGATATAAGAAACATCTGATATGGTGTACATCTGATATAAGGTATGTCTGATATAAGGTACATCTGATATAAGAAACATCTGATATGGTGTACATCTGATATAAGAAACTTCTGATATAAGGTACATCTTATATAAGGTACATCTGAAATAGTGTACATATGATATAAGGTACAACTGATATAGAATACATCTGATATAAAGTACATCTGATATAAGGTCATCTGATGTAGAATACATCTGGTATAAGGTACATCTGATATAAGGTTCATCTGATATAGAATACATCTGATATAAGGTACATCTGATATAAGGTACATCTGATATAAGGTTCATCTGATATAAGGTACATCTAATATAGTGTACATCCTATATAAGGTACATCTGATATAGAACACATCTGATATGCTGTACATCTGAAATTGTGTACATCCTATATAAGGTACATCTGATATAAGGTACATCTGATATAAGGTACATTTGATATAAGAAACATATGATATGATGTACATCTGATATAAGGTACATCTGATATAGAGTTCATCTGATATAGAGTACATCTGATAGAGTGTAAATCTGAAATACAGTACTTGTTGTTTTCAGTACTTGTGGTATACAGTACATGTGATATTGTACATCTGATAAATAGACCATCTGATATAAAGTACATCTAGTATAGTTTACATCTGATATAGTGTACATCCTATATAAGGTACATCTGATATAAGGTTCATCTGATATAAGGTACATCTGGTATAGAATACAGCTGATATAAGGTACATCTGATAAAGTGTACATCTGATATAAGGTACATCTGATATAGTGTACATCCTATATAAGGTACATCTGATATAGAATACGTCTGATATAAGGTACATCTGATAAAGTGTACATCTGATATAAGGTACATCTGATATAGTGAACATCCTATATAAGGTACATCTGATATAGTGTACATCCTATATAAGGTACATCTGATATAGAATACGTCTGATATAAGGTACATCTGATATAGAGTACATCTTATATAAGGTACATCTGATATAGTGTAAATCCTATATAAGGTACATCTGATATAGAGTACATCTTATATAAGGTTCATCTGATAAAGTGTACATCTGAAATAAGGTACATCTGATAAAGTGTACATCCTATATAAGGTACATCTGATATAGTGTACATCCTATATAAGGTACATCTGATATAGAATATATCTGATATAAGGTACATTTGATAAAGTGTACATCTGATGTAAGGTACATCTGATATACGTACATCTGATATAGAGTACATCTGATAGAGTGTACATCTAAAATACAGTACTTGTTGTTTACAGTACTTGTGGTACACATTACGTGTGGTATTGTCCATCTGATATAGATTACCCCTGGTATAGTGTACATCTGATATTAGGTTCATATGCTATAGGGTTCATCTGGTATACAGTACATCTGATATATTGTACATCAAATATACAGTACATCTGATATAGTGCACATCAAATGTACAGTACAACTGATATATTGTACAATAAGTATACAGTACATCTGATATATTGTGCATCAAATATACAGTACATCTGATATATTGTACATCAACTTTATATAATTCATATGATATAGGTTATATCTGATATACGGTATATCAGATATACAGTACATCTGATATAGCGTAATCTGCAATCAACTACACATTTCTTTTTACATCGAGAATAATGTTTCTAAAGCATATGCAATAATAATAGAATAATTTACTGTATTGTTTACTCCGTTACCAGTTATACCATACGGAGGAGTTTGCAACGACAGTAACCAGTGTTTCAAGTCTACCGGTGTGTCCTGTCTTTCAACAAACGATCAACGGGCGTGTCTATGTGTAACGTCATCATACTGGAGCGAATCCAGCTTGTCATGCATCAAACGTGAGTACGTTTATAGCGATTTGTATGTGGAAGTGTTATTTTCGATCACACAAGAACTTTGGAAACAGAGCATCGAATAAGGAGTAGAATATTTATATACGGTAACGTTTAACTGTAATGTTGTAATAAGGTGAGATACATGTCTATCTATAACTACATGTATTATCTTTTGATACTATAAGGGGGTGTGATTTTAACTACGGAAATCGAAGGTCCAAATTTCGTGTTTGTAGCCAAACAGATACTTGTAATACATTTCCATACTATAATGATGTTTGATTTTCTTAACAAACTTCTGTGTTTTAGAACATGGTTATAAACAGACTTGTCCATTCGAGATAAGTAACAGCTGCAAAAGTAACCTGATGTGTAGAAACAACGACTTGGTGTGTGCTTGTCTCAAAACTAAGTACTGGGATCAGTCGGAATGTTCTGACAGTCCGTATGATTTGATTTTTCTAAACTGAAGTTGAAAAGCAATTGTAATTGTAATAAAGAGCTTATAAAAATGTTCAGAAAACATATTTCTATGGAGAAACCAAAGAACCGAAGTTCATCAATCTATGTCTGATCGGATAGCTTCTAGATTACATTCTACATTATCCGTTACAATGTGTATTCACATCTATACTGCGTTCTGCATAATCCGTTATAATTTATAATAGCATCTATAGAACTAGTATTCTACATTATCCGTTACAATTTATAGCAACATATATACTACGTTCTACATTAGAAGCATCTATAGTGTGTTCTACATTATCCGTTAATGTTTATAGTAACATATATACTGCGTTCTGCATTATCCGTTATAATTTATAATAACATCGAAACTACGTTCTGCATTATCAATTACAATTTAAAGTAACCTCCATACTGCATTCTACATTATACGTTACAATTTATAGTCACATATACACTACGTTCTACATAATACGTTACAATTTATAGTCACATCTATACTACGTTCTACATTATACGTTACAATTTATAGTCACATATACCCTACGTTCTACATAATACGTTACAATTTATAGTCACAGCTATACGACGTTCTACATTATACGTTACAATTTATAGTCCCATCTATACTACGTTCTACGATGTGACTATACATTATACGTTACAATGTATAGTCACATCTATACTACGTTCTACATTATACGTTACAATTCATAGTCACATCTATACTACGTTCTACATTATACGTTACAATGTATAGTCACATCTATACTACGTTCTACATTATACGTTACAATTTATAGTCACATCTATACTACGTTCTCGTTATACGTTGCAATTCAAAGTCACATCTATACTACGTTCTATATTATCCGTTACAATTTAAAGTAGCATCTATACTATGTTCTATATTATCCGTCATAATTTAAAGCAACACCTATACTGCGTTCTACATTATCCGTTACAATTTATAGTTACATATATACTGTGTTCTATATAATCCGTTTCAATTTATAGCAACATCTATACTATAATGTACGTTCTACATTATCCGTTACAATGCATAGTAATATCTATACTGCGTTCTGCATTATCCTTTATAATTTATAGTAGCATCTATACTACGTTATACATTACCCGTTACAATGCATAGTATTATCTATACTGCGTTCTGCATTATCCTTTATAATTTATAGTAACATCTATACTACGTTATACATTATCCGTTACAATGCATAATAATATCTATACTGCGTTCTGCATTATCCTTTACAATTTAAAGTAACATCTATAGTGAGTTCTATATTATCCGTTACAATGCATAATAATATCTATACTGCGTTCTGGATTATCCTTTTTAATTTATAGTAACATCTATAGTGCGTTTTACATTATCCGTTACAATGTATAGTAACATCTATAGTGTGTTCTTAATTATCCGTTACAATGCATAGTAACATCTATAGTGCGTTCTACATTATCCGTTACAGTGCATAGTAACATATATAGTGCGATCTACATTATTCGTTACAATTTTTAGAAGCATTTATTGTGTGTTCTACATTATCCGTTACAATACATAGTAACATCTATAGTGCGTTCTACATTATCCGTTACAATGCATAGTAACATCTATAGTGCGATCTACATTATTCGTTACAATTTTTAGAAGCATCTGTAGTGTGTTCTACATTATCCGTTAATGTTTATAGTAACATATATACTGCGTTCTGCATTATCCGTTATAATTTATAGTAAAATCGAAACTACGTTCTGCATTATCAATTACAACTTAAAGTAACCTCCATACTGCATTCTACATTATCCGTTACAATTTTTAATAACATTTATAGGGCGTTCTACATTATCTACATTATCCGTTACAATTTCTAGTAACATCTATACCGCGTTCTACACTATCCGTTACAATTTATAGTCACATCTATACTACGTTCTACATTATCCGTTACAATTTATAGTCACATCTATTCTACGTTCTATATTATCCGTTACAATTTAATGTAACATCTATACTATGTTCTATATTATCCGTCATAATTTAAAGCAACACCTATAATGCGTTCTACATTATCCATTACAATTTATAGTTACATCCGTTATCCGTTACAATGCATAGTAATATTTATACTGCGTTCTGCATTATCTGTTACAACTAATAGTCACATCTATAGTACAAGGTTCTACTTACTTGTAGTTTAAATACACATCTCGACTACATTTCTACTTACTGTGTTGTAGTTTGAATACACATCTAGACTACGTTATACTTACTCTGTTGAAGTTTGAATACACATCTAGACTACGTTTTTAAATAATCTTTTGAAGTTTCAATATACATCTAGATTACGTTAAACTTACTCTGTTTAGTTTAAAATGCACATCGAGACAACGTTTCTACTTACTCTGTTGTAGTTAAAATACACATCTATAATAGGTTCTACTTACTCTGTTGTAATTTGAATACACATCTAGACCAGGTTCTACTTACTCTGTTGTAGTTTAAATACACTTCAAGGCTAGGTTCTACTTACTCTGTTGTAGTTTAAATACTCATCTAGACTACGTTCTACTTACTCTGTTGTAGTTTTGTAGTTTAAAATCCACATCTAGACTGCGTTTCTACATACTCTGTTATAGTTTAAATTCACATCCAGACTAGGTTCTAATTACTCTGTTTTTGTAGGTTTGTAGTTTAAAATCCACATCTAGACTGAATTTCTACATACTCTGTTATAGTTTAAATTATACAGATAAACTACTTTTTTATTTACTTTGTTGTAGTTTAAATACAAATTTAGACTACGTTTCTACTTACTCTGTTGTAGTTTATCTAGACATATAAACTAGGTTCTTCTTACTCTGTTATAGTTAAAATACACATCTAGACAAGGTTCTACTTACTCTGTTGTAGTTTAAATACAAATCTAGACTAGGTTCTACTTACTCTGTTATAGTTCAAATACACATCTAGACAAGGTTATACTTACTCTGTTGTAGTTTTTCTAGACATATAAACTAGGTTCTACTTACTCTGTTGTAGTTAAAATACACATCTAGACTAGGTTCTACTTACTCTGTTATAGTTCAAATACTCATCTACACTAGATTCTACTTACTCTGTTATAGCTCAAATACTCATCTACACTAGATTCTACTTACTCTGTTATAATTTAAATACACATCTAGACTACGTTCTACTTACTCTGTTATAGTTTAATTACAAATCTAGACTAGGTTCTACTTACTGTGTTATAATTTAAATACACATCTAGACTACGTTCTAGTTACTCTGTTATAGTTTAATTACAAACCTAGACTAGGTTCTACTTACTGTGTTATAATTTAAATACACCTCTAGACTAGGTTCTACTTACTCTGTTATAGTTTAAATACAAATCTAGACTAGGTTCTACTTACTCTGTCACAGTTCAAATACACATCTAGACTGGGTTCTACTTACTCTGTTATAGTTCAAATACTCATCTAGACTAGGTTCTACTTACTCTGTTATAGTTCAAATACTCATCTAGACTAGGTTCTACTTACTCTGTTATAGTTCAAATACTAATCTAGACTAGGTTCTTCTTACTCTGTTATAGTTCAAATACACATCTAGACTAGGTTCTACTTACTCTGTTATAGTTCAAATACACATCTAGACTGGGTTCTACTTACTCTGTTATAGTTCAAATACTCATCTACACTAGGTTCTACTTACTCTGTTATAGTTCAAATACTCATCTAGACTAGGTTCTACTTACACTACTGGAACCATATCCCATAAAAATCCCATGAAATTCCTGTGAAAACCACATTAAAAAGCCTGGATGCCATTAATAAGGCCATGACATTTCGTCGAAGTTTTTTTCATGGGCTTGCCTAAATGCCATGAATATATTGTTCATGGCCTTGGATACCCCATGAATCACACATACATCCCCTTAAATTTCAATGAATATAGTTGTCTGATACGAGTGTCAAGAACCATGGCCATGATTTCTCGTCGCAAAAAATAATCATGGTCATAGTATGGCCCTGAAAAAAGGAAATCATGGCCATGAATTCCGATGGTGTATTTCATGGCATTGAAATTTGGAAAACCACTGCCATTAAAATTAGTTGCTCTAAAAGTGTCCGAGATACCAGATAGTTCAAGGCCACGAAGAAAAATATCATGGCGTCCAAGTAAAGACATGAAGAATTCATGGCCATGAAAAAGTAATTCCACAGCTTCTAGTAAAGATCATAAATTCATGGCCATGAATTTTTCAACAAAGGCCATGATATCTATATATATATCATCATAGAAATTTTTAATATAGTGTTCACCATGCATGTTCATGGCCATGAATATTTACAGAATTAATTAGGGTATATCATGGTATATATATATGTTGGAACGATTTATCATATCACAACACGAGTGTACATTTGGCACATCACGATAAATGTACTTCGTAAATACGAGAAAATATATGCTGAAAACTGCTGAACTGTTCAGGATAATGCTGAAAAATGCTGAACTGTTCTGTTAAATTTTTAAGCCGTTATTGTTTTCGATAATAAAAGAAATGAGAATTTAATGCTCATGAAACTAATTTTTATGATCATTAAATTAATTTTCTTTATTTTTAATGATCATTTATTTACTGAAACAAGTGTAGTTAGAAGAAAGTTGATGGTCAATAACTATAACATCAGTTTCCATGATCAAACCTTCGAATCTAATATATTAAGTTAATAAAGTCCGAGAGATCCGAATAAATACTATGTCGATGACTCCCGAGTGTTACCGAAAAGATAAACAAATATGGCTGCCGTAGAAGACGAACCGATATGTCCAAGACAAACTTTCGACTCTAATGGGCTATAAAAGATTAGACAGTATGATAAAATGGAATACACATGACAGGTATGATGTTATATCAACACGCTGAACAATCGTTTTGAGTATAAACATGTGTTTCCCGTAAAAATACAGATTACATCTAGCGGTGGACTTGTCGTCTGC